TAGTCTATGATTGGTTTGAAGAACGCTTACAATTATGAAAATATGGAGTGAATTTGGAATTGTCATCAAGGTTTCTTACAATTGCAACTGCATTTCCAACTATTGGATGATGATTCAAGGTCATCAAAGGGATAGAATTTCCTTCTTCCCGTTGCTATAATCATCTATGAACATCCCATGGCCTAACACAAAATGGACTTGTTAATGACCAAGTTATGCACATACATTTCCTTGTATTTTATTAATGCATTCAACTTAGGTGTGAATTATGAAAATATGGAGTGAATTAAAATGAAATTATGGAAGATTAGGAGATTGGATTAGTTGTGATACATTTTCTAGGCATTGGTAAAGTAAAAAAATATAACCTAATACACCTCCAAAGTGTTGGAAAAGTACACTCATGAGATTAAAGGAAAATTAAAAACTAATTAATGATGAAGTTTTCAATTTTCCAGAAATTATTTTCAAAAATTACATTTTTGCCCCAAACCTTTTGTAATCACAATTCTACCCCAAAAGTTTCAGAAATTACCTATTTAACCCAAATGATCTGAAAGGTCTATTAAGCTCAAAATACTTCTAAATGATGTTGAAATCCAGAAAAAGTAATATAAAAATGACATAAACAATAAACATCTATCATGACAATCAATAGTGGTGGCTAGTGATGGTGAATGACAATCAATAATGATGATCAATAGTGATAGTCGATATTAGTGGCCAATTGTAATAACTAGCATGGATCTATGGTAACCATCAATGATGGGTGGAGGCGGGTGGAAGTTGGTGACGATAAGTGGTGACAATAAGCGTTCGTAATGGTGCGCTTTAACATCAACGCTACTTCACTTGAAATAATTCACTTGGTCAAATGACAAAACTTTCAACCTGAACAAACACTGCAGAATTCTAAGACAACGAGCAAATTGCAAACAGTAAAACTTACCTCATATTGAAGCTTTTTGTTCATCCCATTTGATAAGTGAATAAAGGTTGTTTCCTAAAGATCATGGTTGCAAAAAGATCATGGATGTTATTTCTTAACTATAAAATTATATTTCTGACTGTAAGTAAAATAATAAAAAATATAGTTAATGTATACTCCTTCTAATTCTTGTGATATAACATTTTCAATGATTTTACGCATATTAAAAAAATTAATTTTTTCTTTATATAGTAAAAAAGTGAGATGTACTTTTATTTTTACGTTTAACTTTAAATAATAATATAATTATATTAAATTCACACTAATCAAGAAGGATAAAATTGGAAAAAAGTGGTTTAATTGTTATAAAGTGTCCTCTATTTTAAATAAAAAATTACTTATAGAAGGTGTTTTATAAATAAAACTGAAAGGAGTAATTGTTAATAACAAAGATAAAGTTAATATAAAAAGTGTAATTAATTTCATTATACACAAATAAGTATATTTTTCTATATTAACAATTTAAGTATTAATAATATAGTTTCAATTAGTCATAACTTCAATTTAGTCATGTAATAACAACTATGTTTCTTCTATATTAACTTTACATATATGAACTTTAGTTTATTTTTACAACTACTCATTTTATTATTTTTTAGTCAGAAAAATGCAATTTTGCAGAAAATTTATGACAGTCCCTTAAAATTTTCAGGATAATTACCTTATTTCATGGTATTATTTAGCCATTTGTTTATTTTAAGGAATCTCCCTTCTTTCTACCATATTAGAGAAAGTATAGGTTTTGGAAAGCCATAATATTAATCTTTATAAATAATTTGTGTACATATTTTAAATGGCTATTAAGCAGACCAACCAAGCACCCGTTTGAATTTTGACTCATTTTTTCCTCTCTTCTACTAGGCAAATTTGACGCATGGTAATGCTCGAGAATTTCTTTAATGATCCCTGTAGTGACCCTTGGCAATTAAGTGTGTGTTTGATTTTCAGTTTGTCAAAAGTTAATTTGTTAAAAATTTATTTATCAAAAGTTAGTTTAATAAAAGTCAATTATTATAATAAAATTTATATTTTAATATATTTTTTTAAAAGTCAGTTTGATCAACGATGATTTGTGCTTTTAAAATTTACTTTTAAATATGCAATGATGAAAAAAGATATTGATTTATGATAATGTATAATTTTTATTATACAAGCATAAAATTTAAGATATTAAATAATTAGAATAAAAAATATATAGTTTAATATTATTTTATCCCAAAAGGAGTTTTAGATAGTAACAAAATGGAGCTCTTAAATTTTTATATTCAACTCATTCTAAAAGAACTTTTAGAAAGCACATTTGATCTTATCAAAATATATTCAAATAACTTTTCATATTTTAAAAGTGAAAAAATACTTTTGAGATGTGAAAAATACAATACTCAAATGTAAATGTGTCAGGATCAAGACCTATCTCAATTCTAGAATCCATGAGGTGCATTCTCGAAGGAGTTGGAATTTTTGGCGAGCAGCTATGTTGTAGAAAATATGCATCTTATTACGAAATTCAGCTCTATCTTCCTTGCACTACTTGTGTAACCCTGCGCAAGCACATTGCTCAGCTAAATGAGCAGCTTTCACCTCGTAACATCTAACACACACCAGATCTTGCAAGTGATATAGTCGTTCTCTCTGCCGTACAATCTGAAGAAGTGCATTTTCCATCACTTCACGATCGTATGGCAATGCCACACCTGACTCAGTAGAGCTGAGTCACGGCACAAATCCAAGTCTCTGCAATCATTGCAATAGCTGTGCAAACAAGGTTGGAAAGTCATGTTAATAATAGGAAAATAAGTCTCCTTTTCTCTGTTTTTTCCTCTCTCTTTGGCCATGGTTGACCAACCATTAGGCAACGATGATTATCGACTGAGTTTGGATGGGCAACGATGAGAGGTAGAGTTTGAGCTGTAATTGCCAGGGATGAAGGTCTAAGAATGAACCAAAATGGGGAAATGAATGTTATTCTTTGACTCCCTCTTCTCTTGTTTAATCTCTTGTAATGAATTTTAAAGGACAAATAATAACAATACCCAATAGGAATTTGGTGCACATTTCTCAGAAAATTCAAATCGATATAATTGGCAAACAAGTAGCTGATAATACCCATATTCAACGAAGGCAAGCTGCTACTTTACCTGACTCTCAACTAAACCATACGAAGGTAAAAATATGCAAGCCAATTACGTGGTTAATTTTTAGAAGATACTGCGAGGACAAGCAAACTTTTAACAGTATTATTGTTTATTAATCGATTAACAATACTAGTATATAAGTATGTAACGTTGTTACTTGCGGATGACATTGGGTAATATGAACGAACGACCCAGATCACGAAACTGAGCTTCTGGTGCGAACTCCCTGACACGAACAAATCTCAACAAATTCTTTCTCATGACCTACCAAGCAAAGGACAAACAGAATTATTACTTTGCTAACCATGGTGTAGGAACAAGAAGATTTGCTGCCAAATAAGTCATCCAGTTCAAGTTATTTAGGCAAGAAATCAACATTTATGGCTATTAAAACTACTGTTTAACTTTTATTTTTGTCTTGACTGGAGAGAGTAAATAATACTACTCATCCCCTAAGTTACAATCATCTTCCTATTATTGGCCTATTATGCAACAGTTGACTGCCCTATTTGGTATAAGGTATTGAATTTTAAGGAATTGATAATAGGATTGGAAGTGAGAATGAGTTTTAAAATTATATTTGGTATGTGAATCGATTAAAAAAAAATAAGACTCAAATCAGATAAAAAAAAAAAGAGCTGAAAGACACAATTGCTCTTATTTTCTTCCTTCGTTCCCTCCATTCTCCCTTGCTGGTCATTGTGAGCCACACGCATCTCATCCTCCTCTTCCTCCTTTAATTTCCCTATTTCATATGCTCTTTTTTCCTCGTTGCAAGCATGAGCTATAGGATTTTAATGCCTCCCCACATAAATAGAAACAACCCATGTGATTATTTTAATGCCTTTGGAACAAGATCTGGAACAATACATAGAACAAGAAATGCAAACGAGATCCATGGCGAACAACCCATTATTGTAATGCCTCTGGAGCAATCCATGTATGATTTTAATGCCTCTCCTCCTTCAACTTTGATTTTTCAGTTGACATTTGAATCAATCTCACCTATCACCAAATCTAGAACAAGAAAAGCATATTTTGATTTCAATCTCGCCATCTCTACTTTTGTTCTTGTTTGTGTCAAGGTCGATTGTTGCTGCAGGTCTTCATCAGTTCATTGCTTGTTTGCCATTGCTTGTGTCAAAGTTGTTGCCGGCAAGGGAGAAAGTTGCCAGTGAGGGGGGAAGTTGTCATCATGGTGAACATGCAGTGAGGTGAAAAGGAAGGAAACAAAGTCAAATTTGGTATTGTTTTAGGAGGTCATTTTGATCGTGAAAATTTCAATTTCAAAATTAATTTTGCAATACTATAGGAATGGCGGGTTTTAATATTTCCACCTAAGTGGGACTGAACAATTTCAAGTATTGATAAATGCTTTATGCCAAACATGTTAAAGGTAATATTGTTCTAACCCAATCTCAATCCTTACCCACTAATGTTGTGTACCAAATATGACATATAACTATATAATGATAGCAGCAATAAAAAAAAAAAAGTAACATGCAACCAATGGCTTTGCAATTTAGTGACATAGAAACTTTCCTATAAGTGAGAGCTCACGGATTCAATTTCGCCTTTAACATCAGGCCGTTAATGCCTATGCCTGCCCCTCTAATTCAAACAACAACAACAACATGCAAGAATGCTACGTGTAAAACAAAGCATTAAGATCGGAAAACACACTTTTTCTGAGCTGGACCCTCCTCTTGCGTTGCACGTATTCTCCCTTTCTCTCTTCTCTTGTTTCTTCTTTAATCTGATTCTTTCTTCTCACTCTTTATATTTTTGCAGATCACTCTTCATATATACACACAGACATAAAGCAGGTGCTCATTTCGGATCCTAAACTTCTCTTCTAACCACAAAAAGCAACAATAATGGCTTCAATTTCTTCATTCTTCTCCTCTTCCTTTATTCTCAAGCGAATCGTAACCCCAAACTCCTTCCTCGTCACTGCAAAATCTCCATCCTCCTTCTCCAATCTGCCTACAAAGCCACTGCGGCCTTCACCGGTGGCACTGTCTCTCCCAGGCGGGTCACGGGCGGAGATTCCTTCCGCGCCTAGAACTGAGCCTCCGCGTTTTCCCAAAGAGATGCCTGTCGGTCCGAGCCAGGATCCGGCAGAAACTGATGCCGGAGTTCCGCCCGAGATAATGGCGGATCCTCCTCCGACGAATCCTGTGCCAAGTGATCCGAATCCGACACCGAAACCAGAGGGTCCGAAGCCTCCGCTGTCGCCGCCGGGGCCTGAATTCCCTATTCCCAAGCCTGAAGTTGTGCCGCCGCAGCCGCCTGATGTTGTCCCGCCACGGCCGCCGGGACCGGAGATCATTCCACCACCTTCGATCCCGCCGGATATTTCGCCGCCTCCGACCCCAGAAGGGCCTCAAATAATAGTGTAGGGAAGCATATTTATGAATTCTCCAAGCTTTGAATCATGTATACTTTGTTTTTCCCTGGTTCTGGTGATGGGGTAGCTAGATTGCCATATCTTGAGAACAAATTGCTCTGAACTTTCTTGTTTCCGTGAAACAGGCATGATGCGGTTGAAGCCAAAATAATAATAATAATAGGTTTAATATATTTTTATTCAGTTAAATTAAAACAAGCGAATCTTAACGTATTTATAATATTAATAATTAAAATTAAAATTATTGTAAAATAAATAATTCATAAATAATTTAAATGTTTTAATTTAATTGAAAAATAAATAACTTAACTATATAAGTTTTTTTTTAAAAATTTGAATTAAAAAGCAAATATATGCATTACATTCTCTTTCAGCCCAAACTGAAGGAAGGTTGTCAATGATGTTGAGGATAATAATCCTCTCACATGTCCAAGCAGAGCTTGAAAAACGGATTTATTCTTAGTAGGTTCAAGTTTAAAAGGGTCATTCTGTTTAAGCTCAAATTCTCTTTATGATCCTAAAATATAAAACTTGGCTCTCGACATTGCAAGCTTAGGATCGGCCTTATAGGCTTCAGACCTTTTTAATTATTTTCATTCTTTTTCAAATTATTTTATCAATTAAAAAATTATTTTATTCCAACATAATACCCAAACAAGAAAACAATGAGAAAACTAACTAAATAACATTTAAATGAACTAAAAACACAAATAAAATGATAACAAGGCACCAAACATTGAATCAACTAAGCTAACAAACACCAAATCTAGATTAAATGAGATTAATGAACTGAAATATGTGATTGAGAGATTTAGATGAAATATGTGATTGAGAGATTTAGATGAATTAGGGGATTTAAGATTTTTTTTTTTTTGTCTTTCTTTTTCAACAAATATGGGCTCAAATGTGATATGAAGTAAGATTTAATTTAATTTTTTTTTAAAGTCTAAAAAGAGTTAAAGTTATGAAACTAAAATAAAAAAATATATGTAGAACTCAATTTATCATTTTAATATTCAATTTACAAGCCTGACCCTATTATTATATGGTTTAAACAAGTGAGCCCACTATTTTCCGGGCTTTATGTCCAAGTGTTCAAACCATTAACATTGAGAGAGGAGAAACTGGAGACAGGTTTGATGATGCCATGAACCCAGAAGCTTTGATCATATATCACAGCTAAAAAAAATGTTATTGAAAAATCACACTACATAGTTAAAACTGGATATAGGAAAAGAAATTATATAGTAGTTTTTTAAAATAATTATTATATATAGTCTGGAGATTATAATTTCTTTTTTAATATTTTTTAGGAATTATATAACGTTAGTTTTTAGAGATTATATAATCACTGACCATAGATTGATTGTTTAGAAATAATCGTTATTTAGTTTTGTGACTCTAAAAAAGTTTAGAAAAATATATGTTACATAACACACTAATTGATAATATTAGTATATTTAAACCATTAATTTTTTTTTAAATTCAATGACAAGCTTACTCATTCTTTTTTCATTGTCATTTTTCACATTGAAATCCGTTCCCTACACTTCGACGCTCAACCCTCTCCCTTTCTCTTAAGCAACGTCACTTCTCCACTATACATTCAACCTTCTCTCTTATCGCAAGCAGCTCTCTTACTGCAGACTGAGTCTTTATTTTTATCTTCAAAATTCACACAATCAACTCCTGTCATAGTTGGTCCCAAAAAAAAAAAAAAAAAAACTCCCGCCATAGTCTACAGTGCAATGTATGTCCCTTCTTCTTCGTTCTGCGTGCATGCACGACGCCGTACGCCATCCTTTAGTCTGTGCGATACCCAATCTCCCCAAAGTCACTCTCCCTCAATTCTATCCCGCCATTGTCCCTGTTTATATTGTTAAGTAGAAGGCTAGTGTTACAGACTTGTGACTACTATTTATAGTTTTTGGTTTCAAATCTATAGTTTTTCATATTTGTATGATACTAGTTTTTTGAGAATGCTTTTTTGATTTTTCAAATCTATAGTTTTTTTTTTGCATTTAAATTGTTAAATGAAAAATTTTAAGATTAATTGTTGTTGATTTCAGATCTAGATATTGTCTCTACTATTTTAGTATTTATTTATTGTTCACTTTACTTCACTAAAAATTTTAAGAAAAAAATATAATGCAACGGTGGCTAGAAATGTGTTCACTATTTTTTTAAAAAAAGTTCTATTTTTAATTTTTTTAAAAAATTAAGAATTTAAAGTTAATATTGAAAATAAGGCATGAAGAATTTAAAATAAATGATAAAGGAATTTAGGATAAGAAAAATTATGAGAATCCGAAAGTTATGATACAAGAAAAATAATAAAGATTTTGGATAGAGTGATGTCATAATAAATATAATAATTTTAATTTAATATTATAAATTTTATTTAATAATGAAAATTTAAAAAAATAAAATTAGTAGCTGAAAAATAAAATAAAAATTATGAATATTTTTTCAAAAAAAATCATCAAGAGATTATTTGTGATAGATAAAATTATGATAGAAAAGAGGGGCAATTATGAAATTAAATAAAATGATAAATAATAGTACATCTATATAGATATAATACTTTTCTGAATTGTTGTTACGAAACTTCTTATAATATTTACACTATTTTTTTATTTTATGTTTTATATATTAATTTAATTTAGTTTGGCATTTAAATTAGATGTGATATGATATGGATGCTGCTAAAAATAGATGTGATGTGATAAGGTAATATAAGGCATTCCCTTTCTCTGCGCGTCTATATATACGTGACAATACTAAATTTGCATTCAAAATCCACAAAAAGCAGCGATGGCTCATTCAATCTCTTCCTTCTTTGCCTCTTCCCTGCGCAAGCAAACCCTAATTCCGAACTTCATGGTCATCGCTTCAAGACAATTCTCATCGGATTTCAGAAAACTTGGAGTTTCGGTGCCGTTTAGAGTCAAAGCGCCACCAGTTCCTTGTAATGATATGGATGAAAGTCCTGCGCGAGGTTCGTTCTGGGAAAACATTTACAAAGATAAAGTTGTGGATCTTACTTCACCAAATATTATGCCTATAGATCCAAACCTTCCTAGGGAGACGAAGAAGGAGACGAAGGATGATGAGAAACAAACCTAAGTCTGAAGTTGTGGATCAGAGATCGTTTCATTTTTGTCAGTCTTTTTTTTTTTTTAAAGATTGTTTTTATTCTTTTATATTTGTTATTTCTTTCTTTTCTACCGAAATTTTTTTTTGTTTTGTGTATAAATAATTTTTTTCATTTTATCCCAATATATTATTGAGGATGAATGAAGGTTAAGGCATTTCATCAGCTTCAAAAGCAACAATAATCAAGAAAGAAAGAAGGTAACGACCCGCCAGTTTTCATTTGCTTTCAAATTGCTTGTATTCTGTTCATTTGTTCCCATCATATTTTAATAATAATAGTTCGAGCCATTTTTTATTAAAAAATGATAAAGAGGATAAATTATGATAATGGGAGGTAGTTGTTAAAAAAATTAAAATTGTCTATTTAAATTAAAATGAAATATATATGAATAATTTGAAATAACTTCATGGGAGTGTGCCTTCTCACTGGAAGGGATAATGACGAGTGAGTTAAGATAAAATTGGTGTAACTGCCCATTTACACCACAAATATAGTAATTGAAGTTGTCAATAATTTTTTTTACTTTTTAAATATATTATTTACAAAAAAAATAGAATTTAAAATTATATATTGGGAAACGAATTAACAAAGAAAGAATTTAAAACCAAAGATAAAGGATCTGAGATAAGGAAAGTTATGATTATGATAACGAGATGTTATCATGAAAAAAGTTTAAAATTTGAATATTAAGTTTTCTTTGGTTAAACGAATTGGAAGTTATAAAATGGGGAAAATAAATAAGAGAAAAAACAATAAGGATTTGGGAGGGATGTTATGATATATATATATATATATAATAGGAATTTAACATTTAAATTATACTATTAATAATGAAAATTTAAAATATTAAAATTAGAATAAATGAAGATTTTTTTAAAAAAATGAAAGAGATTTACGAGAGGAGCGTTAATCAAGGGGGTCGAGATAGAAGGGCAATTATGGAAAAAAGTTGAAATTTGAAAATATGAATTAAAAAAAGAAAAGGAAAGGTAGTTGGTGGGGATTAAAAAAAGGAGCATTGTTTTGAATTTTTATCTCAAATTCCGATCTCTCCATTTATGTTTAAAAAATCCTTAAAAAATGTTTCTATAATTTTCAAGACAAAACTACTCTAACATTATTCTAGTCAAAACATGATTTTAATCAGGATTAGCGAGTTTGCAAACATACACTAAAGTATCTTTTTTTTTTTATAGTTATATCATGACGTTTTGCTTTAATGATTTTTTTTTAAAATCAAATTTCATTTCATTAACTATTGAAATACAACACTAATAATTCTAATTTTGTATTCAGTGTAACTAGTGAAATTTGAAATGCGTATACAACATATCAATAATCAATAAACAAAGAAAAAGTAAACAAACAAGAATTCATTTTTATTAACCTAAACTTTTTTTATCAAAAAAAGAATTCTCTTAACGGTGAGCAAATTAACCGGAAAAAACTCATTATGAGTTAACCAAGGTTAAGCGGAGTTTAAGCATATCAAATATGAATACGGATGAAATCGGATGAGAGTGGTTAAGATTTGGTTTCGTTAGAATTGATTTTGCAAATTTAAATTTGAATGGATTAATTTGAATGTAAATTGTAACATGATGATTTATATCTGGATGTTATTTCTTAAAAGTGATTTTAAGAAAATGATAAATGTTTAATGATTTTAATTCAAAGCAATTTAAAATATATAATTACTAAAAAAGACGTAAGTTTCACAGTAAGATATTTTATAACTAAGTAAATTACATTATATAATATATAATTTGATTATTTTGATAGATAAAAAAGATAATAAATATGAATACATTAAAAAAATTAAAGATATGAAAAAT